AGAATATCATGTTCTACAGGACTTTGGAATCAATGGAAAGTTCGGGTAATACTAAAAAACTTTCGCTAAAACTATTTGGCCTGCTAATCTTTTTTCAATGTAATTTTTTGTTCATTTTGGATTTTGCATAGTGTTTGTAACTGATGACACAATTTTGCTCGAAATTATCTTTTTACGAAATGCTTGGATTGTATCCTTTTATAATTTATTCTATTTATAATGATAGTGTGATGGGCAAAGTGCTCTCCTCAACATGAAAAAAGTTTAGCCGTTAAATTGCTATCGCATCAATTATTTAAATGATACTTCATTTTCACGATAGGACATTGATATCTGACTCATTTTATATGATCCTGCATACAACTCTTTTAGCATAATCAGCTTCCACCTAAGAAAACCAATCATTTACTTATATCAAAACCTGAGACATAAGACATCCAGTTAATTGAACTCAAAATGAAGATATAGGACCTCAATAAAAAAATAATGATGTCAAGAAAATATGAAAGTGTTGCTTGAGAATTTTTGAAATTACATCTAACAAAAAAACACTATTTTAGAATAACAAAAAGGGGAAACAAAAACAAAATTACAAAGAATGTTATAGATCTATCCGAAAGTAAAGTCAAATTATGCTTTTAGGAAATGGATAAAGAAATGCTTTGGATCTAGAATGAAATAGGTGTTGAAAGTTAGAGAAATATAAGAGCTATGGAGTGCATTGATTATCAATTTTTTATCGAGATCTTAAAATTAGAAAGATTTCAAATAATTGGAAATCTGATACATGTATCTATCTATAAACAAGAAAGAGATGTCAGGCTTGACGTAATCATAAGAGAATAAAGGCTAAGAAAAAACATATGAATAAGAGCAACCGTGAATCTTCACATTAGCTTTTTATTTTGTAAATCTATAATTGAGAACAATCAGATATAATTTGGAGAAAAAAATTATGTCAAAAATATATTGAAGCTATTAAATGCGTATGATGGAGTAGTGATTAATAGAAATTATAAGTAACAAAAAATCAATTTTCAACCGAAGTAAAATTATATCAAAGGTGTAATGAAGTGCAAGAATTTCACACTGATGTGGGATCTAAGGATTTATTCTGAAGCTCTATCCCTGCATTGCAGAGGTTGTTTTTGATACTCAAACCATAACAAGGAGGAAACTTAGCCAAGGGTCCATGGACATCCTCTAAAATTATTTTAAGGATTAGCATTATATATATTAGATGAGCTGCACTAGCATATTCTATTTGCATAATACAATTTAGATAACTTTTAAGGGGGGAAGTTATAATAATTATGAACATTTTTAAAAGATAAAGAGGTTTATGGTTAATGGAATAAAGACATTGTTCATGACCTACAAAAATAGTGTATGCCAAGTAAATATAATAGTTATAGTAAATAAAGTTGGAAAATTAAGTGATACATTCATCTCTTATACAAAAGAAAAATATATATGTATGACTATGATGGAACCATAATTATAAAGTTAAAGCTTAAGAAAGATGAACAAGAAATGATTTAGTAAAGAGATGGGGGCACCAACACTCGTTGAAGCATAGACAGTAAATAATGGACTCTTGTAATTTGGGCATAATCAATGTAATGATGAAGATGATCAAATAAAGTGGTTTACAGAGTAAATATGAAAAAAAAAAGGAAAATGGAAATACCAAAATAATATTAGTTTAAGTAGTGCAAAATTAATCGTCTAAAATTGAATTAGCACTTCACGTAGCATGCAACAAAAATGAATGAAGAAGAAAGATTCAAAAAGAAATAAAAAATATTTGTTATAAGGCACATGATAATGATGATTATAGGTTAAGTTGAAAACTCTTAGAGAGATGATTTAAGAGTTATAAATTTGAAAATCTATTTACTTTCTCGTTTAAGTTGAACTATTAAATAAAATGTAAGCATGAAATAGTAGCAAACTAAAGTAGGTTTCATAACAAGGTAGTTTTGTTGGTTACTATAGGTTTCAAGGTTTCAAGAGCCATGAGAAGTTGGTTTGTTTGTCAACTATATTTCTTTAATGAGAAAGATTTGTAGCTAGATTTTCTTTTCTTCTTGCTACTACAGTATAAGGTACTGTTGCAACGGTTTGCCGATACTCTATTACATGATTATGTTTATTTATTACTTTTATTGAGTTTACCTCGAATATCAATAACTACTACTTGTTTTCGTCCCCTGAACTAGATTTCTAATGCCCTCCACTTTCACTCAACCATTCTATAAACATTTTATATGTAATAAGTTTATGTAAGAATTAATTTTTTAAATGTCCTCCCCTTCACGTAATCAGTCTATGGACTTCTATATGTCCTAAGTTTGTGGACGAACCAAATTTTCAGAATCCTCCTCTTCACTAATGATTCCTTATATAAGTTGACCAAAGATCTCAACTGCATACCCTTCCAGCCATAAAAGAAATTTGAAAAAGTTTGGGCAATTTGAGGAAGCTCAAATCTAGTGAATGTGTATTTGAGTAGCCAGAAAAGTACAAATTAGTACAACTGTCAACTCAAATTACTTTATGTTAGGATTGAAGGAGCCACCCTTAAAACTAGAGGCAGAAAGAGCAATACAAAATGAAATATACAGCCAACTGACAGATAAGAAAAGCTTAAGCGGAGCATGACGTTTCAACCCCAAAAGTTCAGGAGAAGGGTTCACTTATATCAACCATGGAAATAGTATAGAGGTTTCCATGATTTGAATCCATGACATCCATGTCATAATGAAAGCAATTTCTTCTAACCATAACTACAAGGCCCACCCTTTTTAGGGGTGTTAGTGAATGATTTGACACAACAATCCAACTTGAGAAATTAAGATTTGGGTTGATCTGATTACTATTTGGATCAAGTTAGAGTTTGAATTATATACCCTATTGTTATGTAGATGGAATTCGGCTTGACCCGAATAACCTGAAATAAATTCAAATTTGATGCAAGTACTATTTAAAATCAAGCTTAAAAAAACTAGAAGTACATTGTTAAAATAAAAATATATATTAGAAGATTAAATGATTCATATTCAAGTTAATTGAGTCGTATTGATCCAAAAATTGCATGATACATATAGTAAACGAGTTAGTCAAATCGAGTTCATGATGGGTAAATTCTGGTCAAGTCAAATTCCGATCAAATACTTTGAACCATATAAGAAACGGGATAGGTTTGGGTCAAATCAACTTCATATCAAACCCGAAGTCGAGCCATCAATCTGATTGACAATCCATCCTTAGCGTTCATGTAATGCACATTACTATTAAGTTTGCAAAAGTTATTTTTATGATTCAAAGCTTTGATCATGACCTTTGTCACAATAAAGATAATGTAATCAACACCTCCAAAGCTCGCCCCCAAGGTTCATCTAATATAACAATAAACTATCTATGCCTTTGAAGGAGAGGCAAAGATATATATATATATATAACAATAAACTATCTCAAGAGCACAAGTTTCTGCCAAAATTAAAAAAAAAAAAAAAAGCTATGGAAAAAGCATAAGGTTCTCATAGCCTTTTAGAAACAAGTTGATGTGGACATCGGCACGAAGATTTGGCGCATCTATCACAGGAGGCGTCGTAAATCGACGACTCTAATTTAAATTGTCATTTATGAGTTATTTTATGAATTTTAGCTCTTATTTTATGTTATTTCCTGTTTTACCCTTAGGTTAGTTTATTTTGAGTGTTGTGGCCTAAGGGGCAATTTTATAATTTTTATTTTATCATGTTATGGCCTATATATAGGGCCTTAAGCTATTGTAAAGCATTAATTATTCAAATTCAAATAACGTTACTTAATTTATAATTCTTATTTTAGGAAACTTGCTTAATCAAAGCCCCTTTAAATTTTAAATTAAATTGGGATGATATCTTCATTCCCAAATTTAATTTATTATTTTTAGAAAGTATTGATTGCCTCCCACCAATGCCAAACCTGTCATGGGATAATGCAAGTTGATTTCCCAATTTAATTTCCCAAACCTGTCACGGGATAATGCCCATCTTGGGAAAGAATTAGAATTTTCCTTCACTCCAAAGCTTTAATCTTATTTTCTAAAACCAGAAATCAGGTTTTGGAAATAAAATTCACTCTTTTTCCTGTGACCCATCTCTACCCTCTCCTTCATTAACTCAAGCTCTTTGGGAAAGAATTCCAAAACCTGAGAATTTCAAAATCTGAGATGTTTCTAACTCCACGTAACAGCTCGAGGAATTAAATTCCCCACTTCCTTCTCTATACATTAATTGCTCCCTCTTCATTCCCGTAACTCCCTCCTATCTTCCTGAATCTCCCTTCCAATCAACCTGCTTTGATTGGGGGCAATTAAGTGCAGTTATTTCCTTTGGACAAATTTCCAAAAGCTGCTGCTGCTGGCCGAAAGCTTCCCAGGCCATCACGTGGGAATTCCTCTACTAGAAGCTCCCGTGAATTCACTTCCATAATTCTTGTTCCTACTAACCCTTTCCTCCCAACATTGATAGCCAAATTTTCTTCTCAGATTTCTGTTTGGAATTTGAAACAGTTTTCAGATTCTACAAGAGGAGTTTGGTGTTTGTTCTCCCTCCTCTTTCAAGCAAGAAATCTGATTTCTCTCAGATTTTGGGAGAGGTGATCCTCTACTTTGCAACGCCTCCTTCCCGTTCTACATCACAAGTACAGAGCTAAGTTCTCTTCATAGACCAAAGGACACATTATGTAGCAGTAAACAGCACGAAAAATGAGAAAAACATTTGAACCAAAAGCTTAGAAAATTTCTTAACAGAATCTCAATTGATATATAAATATGAATAAACTGCTCCAAGGCACTTACACCCAACAGCTTTATTACTGAGCTAGACCTGAAAAAGTTTGGGGGCGTCTTATCAACTAAATATCCAACACTGAAAGAACTAAAAGGCAAGTGCCATGTACCATAATAACATATAGTTGAAAAGAGAGAAAACAACAAGAAGTAAACTAACCTTCATCTTCGAAGGCAGATGCTTCATCCGACAAGTCTCTGCTGGACTTCTCAGGCAATGAAAAAATGGTGGATTGAGCCTGTTGCTGAGTTGACTGCTGTGCGTGATGCCACTCTGGCAATACAGGAGCCGTCTTATTCATAGATGTGAATTGTGGTACAACTTGAGCTTTTGCAGTCCGCAACTGTTGAATTTAACTCAAGTTCATCATAAAATGTATTGATTAAAGACATGTATCATTTGAAAATATCGCACAAAAGTGAAATTCAGGGGAACAAAAATGCTGCACATACAATGGATGCATATGTATGCTTTGGCTGTTCCCCTGCAGGCTCCTCCTCATGAACGGGCATTTCTCGCAAAATGTTTTGAACACTCGAAACTGAACCACCAGTCAGTTCTACAGGTGTTTCATCAGTTGTTAGATCACGATCTGAAGTTTGATTCGGTTGTCCAGGAACACTGTAATTGTCAAGTTGACTATTTTCATCAGCAGGTAAAGGTGGAGAGATGAAATCTCTTGCCGGGATATCTTCTGCAAGCATATAGCTAGACACTGCAATAAATAACTAATATCTCAGAATAGCCACAGAAGACCTTAATTAGTTAAAAACAAAGATATTGCATCTGCATGTGCATTTATTGACAACAAAACTAAGCTATGTACAATAATCTGTTTAAGGTCTATCTAGAGGTATTAATCAAGAGGATGGTTGCTTCCTATTCAGAATTTACCAAAAAGTTTGACAGGGAAAGAATTATTTCAAGTTCATACAAAAATGTATAAGCTGAACAATAGGATTTAAAGAAATTATTTCATCAGCATGCGCATTTATTGACAACAAAACAAAGCTATTCTAACATAATCCGCTTAGGTTCTTTCTACAGGCATCCCCCAACAGGATGGTGGTTACTTTGATTTCAGCATTTACAAATTTTTGACAAAAAAAAATGTTTCAAGTTCAAACAAAATGCCTAAGCTAAACAATGGGATTCATAAAAGGTATACGATATCAGTCCAAAGCAACCAAGAGAATGACTAAACAAGAAACTTAAAAAAAAAATGAAGAATGCAAAAAGGAACCAAGTGAGCATTGGAACATGAAATAAAGAACGTAAAAGCAAAAGAAAAACATGGATATGAGAAAAAAACAAGACCTAATATTAAGTAGCCAAATTACAGCACTAAAAAAGAGGTGAAAAAGTCTAAATTCCAATCAATAGAATTCATCGGTAAGAGAGCTATCAATTCAAAACAGCTAAAAAAAACAACAATCAAAGCAAAGTTCAAAGAAACAAAAATGCAATGAAGCGAGCCTTAAACAAAATGCACAAAGCATATAGCTTCATTAACGTGTTAACTAATCTCAGTGCATCATGGAAAGAGCTATTTGCATATGCATATTATGTTTGAAGTTTAGCAGGCATGGACATGAAATCATCGAAGAGTGGTTAAAGAACAATATCTCTCACATTTTGATAAATGAAAGACCTCCGATAAAAGGTTTAGCCATCTTTTTATAAGAAACGCAATTTGACTAATATATAACAAGGTTTACTATACCTGGATCTTGTAACTGATTCGATGGATCAAATTGTGTATCATAATTCAATGCATCTAATTTTGTTTCATAATCGGTAGGTGTCATCATGGCTGCTGGGTGTTGATGAACTTGCTCCTCTTCGAGGAGAAAAATATCATTAAGAACAAAATATCCCTTCTCTTGCGGAGCAAGAAAGAAAGTCTCTACAAATTTCCTTCTGAAAATGAAATCTTTTGCTTGCACGAAACCTGACACTGTCACCAAAACTCCTCCATCCCAGGATTCAAGTGAATGAGCAGTTATTATCTCAATCTCAGTGAAATTCAGCTGGACAATGAGATTATGAATTTCCTGGAAGATTATATCATCATATCAGCAAATCATAACAACAAATCAATAGCAGTCAATACAAAATCAAAGAAAACAGAACAAATTCTAAGCAACAATCGCAAAAAGAATCACAAAACAAACATAAATTACAAGCATATAAAAGAAAATGCTTGACATGCAACGAAAAATGATTAGCTAACCAGAAAAATTGAAATCAATAACAAATAACAAAAATCAATGATTAAGAGGAGAATTTATTTGAAAATCTGTAGTTTCACCAAAGAGGTATTGTGTAGAAAGAAACTGAAAACAATAAAACAAATAAGCAGGAAGAGAACAAAAAGAAGAGCTGACAAGAGTTGATAAATCAATAGCTCAGACCCATTAAAATCAATAAAACTCGTTGAAAGGTAAGATTAATTTAGATTTGAAAATCTGAAGATTCACCAAAGAATTTATATTTTCCTATGCACAAATAGAATTAGATTACCAACCTCAAAAAAGAATATCTAAGAAAAGGTAACATAAATTTGAACTCCCATTCGCTTTAGCTACTTGCATCCAATGCAATAAGTATCTTAATATCCAAATAACAAATAGCACAGTTCCTCTTCGAGAATTGGCATCATCATTGTCATTAGTCTTACCCAAATATTTGGAGTTGGCATTATGAACCCTCATTTTTTATTTATGGACTTGGCATTATGAACCCTCATTTTTTATTTATTTTTCTTGAGTTCCCCAAGAGGCGTTAAATCTATTCTTAGCAATAAGTTAATACTACCATAAGTATTTCCTTTTTCTTTCATAATTTTTCAACACTAACTTATCTACCCATCAAATGAGTGCATTTTCTATGCTGTCGCATATCATGTCTAAATTACCCAAGTTTATTTTCAAGTTATCTTATTATCAATAAATGCTACTCCAACTATCCATCCAACATGATCAAATTTATCAATGCCATATTCAATAACATCCATCCAAACATTCTTATTACTGCCAAGCTCAACTTAGCTTATGATTTTTCCCTACCAAATACTTAGATCCATGAAAACATAACCAACTTAATTGCATATTTTTAAAATTCACTATTCATTATACTTGTTATCATCTTATCACAAAATATTCTTAGGGCTTTATTTGCCCATTTTAACCACTCAACCCTAAACTCAAAAGTTATATCTTTATCTATGACCACATTCTTCTATATAATGGATATGCAACCATCAATCTTAGGTATCATTTTACTTTTATCAGTACAAACAAATCTCAAAATAGTCTCCTTTCGTATGTGATTAATTTAGTCAAAGAGTACCATATTTGTCCAATGTAATCCATCAACTATACATGGTCCCAAATGGTTCATTAGGTAGAAATTAATGAAAATTATGACACAAAATTGATTTCAATTTTGTACTTCAAGAATTGTTTGAGAACAATTTTATATAGTTGAAAAATTAAATAGGAAAAATTAGCTACCCATCTGCATTCTACATCAGTTTAGTATCAGAGCATGGTTGCCTGGGATGCGAACTCGATGGAGTCGAGCTCTTTTCACCCCGGAGAATGAAGTGGACATCCGACGGTGGACGATATTCAAAGGAAGAGCTGAAGATCGACGGTCGAGATAACTCCATTTTATTTTAGTTTATTAATTGTATTTTGATTTAATTTTGCAATTTTCCTTTTTTATCCTTTTTATTTAAAAATCTTGTCTTATGTAAGTTTGAGGGGCAAATTTGTCTTTTAGTTTCTTTTGAGGCCTATATATAGAGGCCCCTTTTCTTGTATTAGGAATGATGAATTATTAAGAAAAGAAATTTGTTTTGCATTTTTGTTCTTTGGGAGGACGTTAGTGGGAATCCCTATGGAGGGAATTGTGGTTTCCACAAGCCGCAAGATGGGTCCGGGCTCGTGGCTTGAAGTTCCTTGGTGAAGGGCATCGTATCACCCATCAGTCTTCGGAAGATTCCAAGGCTCGCGGTTCTACCTCTTTTTTCTTTGTTCTGTTTTTCCTTATTTCCATAAACCACCACCTCCTCAAGCCCTCCACCAAGGCATCCATCCTATCACCCCATCACCTTCACACATCGGCTTACACCATCTCCTCCCTTCCTCCTCCCTCCCCTTGGACGAAATCCACCATGACTCCACCCACTCGCCGGCCACCTCCTTCCCTAAAAAAAAAAAACCCTCTTTCCTTATTTAAGTTTTCAGTAATTTGGAAAGATTTTAAATTCAAATTAATCTAATTTGACTTTCAAATCCATCATCATTAATTACCTTATTTTTGGAAACCTCATTCATTCAATTAATTAATCAATTCTGAAATTGATTGATTAATTAATCCCTAGTCCAAATACATTGAACCTAGAAACCCCTAGTCCCCCCCTCTCTCTCTTGGCCAGCCCCATACCCATGCCCTCTTTAAATTTCTTCCCAAAATTAGATTAATGATTATCCTGGAAAGGTTTTGAATTCAAATCCAACATAATTTGAAATTTGAATAATTTCTTAAATTAATTGATCTATTATAGGAAAGTATTTAAATCAATTTCAGTTCAATTCCAAATTGGATTTGAATAAAATTCTCTCCCTCAATTTAAGACTATGGAATAGGCAAGCTTTAATTCCACCCCTCACTCTCTCCTATTTTAATTAATGCTTCTCCATTAAGGCCTCCAATCTCTCTCCATTTAAGGGATTAATTAAGTACCCCTTCCCTCCTTTTCCCATTTAATTTGAAATTCAAATTTCAAATGACCCCCCACCCATCTCCGTTCTACATCAAGTTGGGAAGCAAGCCTACTGAGAGCCCCATAAATTTAACCATAAACTTAGAAATGCTCTAGAAGATAGTCATAAAAAACCACTTGTCAATGACTAGTGGAAAAATTTGTCTACTTATCAAATATTAGACTTCGCATTACCTATATTATTAGTGTAAAATTTGTGAGTTATTATGGTTGAAATTTGTCCTAAAGGATTTTAAAATTGTATGAAAAGATTCTATAAGGCTTTATTATGACAACAAGTCAGTCATCAATATTGAACATTTGAACATAATCTCGCATAACATGATTGAACAAATAAATTGAAGCGAATAGGCATTTTATAAAGGAGAAGCTAAATAGTTATTTAATTTGTACTCCATTTGTTAACACATGCCCAAGTAATAGACAATCTTACCAATGATATATAGAACAATATTTTAAAAATTGACATGCAAGCTTGAAATGAACAATATAGTGTGGATATATCAATTTAACAAACCAAAACTCAATTCCCACCTACCCAAATACATTTCGTGGAGCCCTCTCCAACTAGCGGTCCACTAGTCATGTGCTCCTTTCTTTATTCTATTAATACCTCATTGATCCATGTACTCATGGATGCCACATCACCAATCTTTGTAGGTTGTTTTATTGTAATTAATTGTATAATTAAAATTAGCATATTTCCTACTAAAAGCTCTTCTAAGATAATATAAATATTGAGCAAGTGCTCGAATGAAACTCAAACAATTCTCTCCAATTCTTATCATTATCAAATGAAGTCACCCAAGAATATAAAAGCTACTTGAAAATCCAAAATTATGTTGTTAAAGCTTCATTAAGAAATTACTCTCAAAGGTTCTTTCATTTAGTTTAAAGTTTATCAAGAATTGTCTATGTAATAAGACAGTTATAAGACGACTAGATTTATTCATTTTATAATGAGCGCTCTCATAGTTGTCAATGGCGCAAAATAGCGCGCGCCATGGCGCACGGCGCGGCGCACCTACGTAGCCATGTTCATGGCGAGGCGCATGTGTTTAGAATTGCGCGCGCTATTTGCGCCACATGTGAGCTATGGCGCACGACGCAAAATAGCGCACCAAATTGTTTAAATGTGACGTCCATCTCTTAAAATTAAAAAAAAAATGCTCGGTACTGCTAGGTACATGCTCGGTACTACTAGGTATCTTTCCATACAAATGACTTATGAACTTTAGAAATAAGCATAACTTCAAAATTACTCTTACATATAAAATTTGCTCCGGGGGCACGCCCCCTTAGACCCCGGCAGCCTGACATATTGTTGTATTCATCATCTTTAGTAATAGTTGTTAGTGTTAGTCTGCTTCTTCATGAGTGCATGCTTTGTATAAGTTTTCTTCATTAGTGCACGCTTTGATTGGGAGACATTGGACTCTATAGGAGAGGAGGATGGGGTGAGGACTTTAAATGTGAATTATTGTCTCTTGGATAGCTTGTCTTTTATTTTTAATGATATTTCATATTCATGCTTATTATTTTATAATTCTTATATAGTTTGTGTCATGTTCAAAATAGCGTGCGCCGCGTCATACGCTATGCGCCATAGCTCCAAAGAGACCTGTGCGCCATGGTGCGTCATTCGTCGTTAATAGGTATGAGCGTTCTTAAGCCTTGCTACGCAGTTTTATTTATATTATCCAAATGTAATATTTCTTATTGCACAAACCATATTCTGCATATTCTAATTGACTCAAGTTACATCATTTAATATTTCTACATATATCTTGTTACATTTTAGAGCTTCTCTCTCTACTTTTTTATTTCTCCCCTCTTGCTTTTGTAAATATAGTTTCATACTTATTAGTAAGGATCTAGTATTACCAGCGGATGGTTTTGGATCTAATATCCTTGAAGGTGCAATGAGTTTAGAAAGATGTCTAGGACAAGAAGTACTAAAGCATCTCAAGGAAATGGAGAGGTCTCTGATAGAAAATACTTGAGTTTGCAAGTAACCCTAAGGGAAATACTTGAATTCACAAGCAAACCTAGCAATAATCGGTAAGAACCAGCAAGAAAGTTGCTGATTTCGGAGAGAAAATAACAAAAACAATGCAGGAAACTCCGGATATCTGAGAGAAACACAAGGAAAACTTCTTATATTCAATCCACGAACAAGAAAAATAATACAATATACAAGTTTCTTCAATTCGAGAGGAAGAAACAACTCTCCTCTTCTCTAGCACAGCCTAGAGCCCAAGA